TCCATTTCTATGTTGGCCAGTGTGGTTCTCAATCAGAGGCAACGAGTGTCAGCTGTGGCTGGTTGTCTCTGATTGGGAACCACATTTAAACAAGCTGTTTGCCCACAGTGGTTGTGGGATCTTGTTCGAGTTGGTTTGTGTTTGACCGTTGACTGTCACGTTATCGTTTTTTGTTGTTTTGGTCGTGTTTCACAAATAAAGAGTATGTTCGTCTGCAACGCTGCGCCTTGGTCCTCATCTGTTCCCGACGATCGTGACACGGGGGTGGCAGCATCATGCTGTGGGGGTGCTTTGCTGCAGGAGGGACTGGTGCACTTCACAAAATAGATGGCATCATGAGGAAGGAAAATTATGTGGATATATTGAAGCAACATCTCAAGACATCAGTCAGGAAGTTAAAGCTTGGTCGCAAATTGATCTTCCAAATGGACAATGACCTCAAGCATACTTCCAAAGTTGTGGCAAAATGGCTTAAGGACAACAAAGTCAAGGTATTGGAGTGGCCATCACAAAGCCCTGACCTCAATCCTATAGAAAATGTGTGGGTAGAACTGAAAAGGTGTGTGGGAGCAAGGAGGCCTACAAACCTGACTCTGTTACACTAGCTCTGTCAGGAGGAATGGGCCAAAATTCACCCAACTTATTGTGGGAAGCTTGTGGAAGGCTACCCGAAATGTTTGACCCAAGTTAAACAATTTAAAGGCAATGCTACCAAATACTAATTGAGTGTATGTAAACTTCTGACCCACTGGGAATGTGATGAAAGAAATAAAAGCTGAAATAAATCATTCTCTCTACTATTATTCTGACATTTCACATTCTTAAAATAAAGTGGTGATCCTAACTGACCTAAGACAGGGAATTTTTATTAGGATTAAATGTCAGGAATTGTGAAAAACTGAGTTTAAATGTATTTGGCTAAGGTGTATGTAAACTTCCGACTTCAACTGTAGATATTCCATAAAAAATCAGCTGTTTCCAGCTACAATAGCCATTTACAACATTAACAATGTCTACACTGTATTTCTGATCAATTTGATGTTATTTTAATGGCCACATTTTTTTTTTCTTTCGAAAACAAGGACATTTCTAAGTGACCCCAAACTTTTGAACGGTAGTGTATATCGACGAGGCACTTGCCGAGGGTCACATCCGCCTCACCCGCGGCCACAGGCTTCTTCTTCGTGGGGAAAAAGGATGGTGGGCCATGGCCGTGCATTGATTACCGGGCGCTCAACAACATCACGGTTAAGAACCGCATTCGAGTCGTTGCAGGGAGCCTGGATCTTCACCAAGCTGGACTTACAAAATGCCTACAACCTGGTGAGGATTCCGGAGGGGGACGAGTTCATTGACACCCAGGGGGACCTACGGATAAACCCAGCCAAGGTCAGCGCGGTACTGGATTGTCCCCAGCCCTCCTCCCTCAAGCAACTACAATGGTTTTTAGGGATGGCAAATTTTTCTAGGCGTTCGCATTCGATGCGCTTAAGCGGCGCTTTACATCGGCCCCGGTCCTAGGGCATCCTGATCCTTCCCTACCGTTCATTGTGGAGGTGGATGCTTCAGACGTTTTGGTGATGGCAATCCTGTCCCAACGGTTCTTCACGGATGGTAAGACTCACTCCTGCGTGTTTTTTTCTCCCGTCGGACGTGGGGAACCGTGAGCTGCTAGCAGTCAAGCTCGCCCTGGGGGAGTGGAGGCATTGGCTAGAGGGGGCCACCCATCCATTCGTCGTATGAACTGACCATAAGAACTTAGCCTACATTCAGGGGGCCAAGAGGGGGGGTAGGGCGGAAAAGGCGTCGGTCCCGTCGGTCCAGGCCTACCTGTTCACCTGTGTATTTATGCCCTCACTTCCCTGTGTTCTCTTGCTCAGTTTTCTCTGCTAGTTTCTCTATGCTCAGCAGTACTAAGTCCGTTGTTTTGTATCCTGGCTTCGGGACCACCAGTAAAGATCCTTGTTTCACCATCTCTGCCCACTGCCTACTGTCTATACCGCACCGCACCTGGGTCACACCTCACACCAACCCTTACACTAGTCCATGATTTGGTGATTTAGTTGGACCCAAATCATGTGTAATCATCTTATAAAGTCATTCATAGTGCTTTATTAAGAAGTGTAATAAATACTCTACTGAGGTATTAAAGAAATAAGTTGTTTCATCTAACACTTCCAAGCAGGAATGCATGACTCAAGATATATTTGGATGTGCAACCTAATCCAGTGCTTGACCTGAATTTTGGGTTGACAATTAAACTATAGTTGCTATATTTTACTGTCAAAATAGGACTGCTGAAATTTTCAATACAGATTACATACATCTTTATATGCACTAACTAATATCAAAGCCTAATTAATTTGGGGTTCAAAACCGGAGGAAGTGGAAACTCAAAACCCATTAACTAGATTGCGAACTCTAAATATAATACCCACCGCTAGTAGCCATGTAGTCAACCAACAATAAATGTAAAACTTTGCAGTTGTAGGCTACTACCCATGAGACCTATAGGCCTATGCCCTCGCAATGGCCGGTTCGCATTTCACTCGTGTGCCGCTCCATATCGCAAAGCCATATCAAATAGCTTGGTTGTAAAATAGTTGCTATTAAGCTGAATATTGAGAGTTGGGAAATAAACATTTTACCAACAGAAAGCTGTGACCCTCCTCTCTTCAACAGGGACAAGGGGACGAAGCTTCCAAAGCTGTGTTTTTCTTCCAAAGCTGTGCAATTGCATTTTGAAATGTTATATGTTCAGAATGCATTTCTGCTCTCTCATCACAGCAGCAGGCCCCCCAAAATAGGACATTTTGAGTGAGGTGACAATGTAGAGGTCTACTTTTATTGTGTCACGGTTTCGGCCGAGGCTGCTCCTCCTCCTTGTTCGGGCAGGTTTCGGCGGTCGTCGTCCCCGGAGTACTAGCTGCCACCGATCTATGTTTCATGTTCGTTTGGTTTTGTCTTGATGTTGTACACCTGTGTCTAGTTAGTCCTCATTAGTGTCCTATTTAGTTCTCGTTGTGTGTGTCAGGTGTTGTGTGTGATTGCTCTTCTGTTTGGTGTTCTGAGCTACGTGTTTCCCTCCGTTGTTTTGGAGAGGTTTTCGCACATGTTAGTGCGCCTATTGTTTGACGCCTGTGTGTGCCTTTATTTCGCCTCCGGGCTTGTTGTGCTCGTGTACTACGTGAATATTTCACTAAAGTCTTTTGGACTTAGTTTCTGCGTCCTGCGCTTGATTCCTGCACCACACCGACCTTCAGCAACCCTGACATATTGGCACCCTTTCAGTTTTTTACGATCCATGATCGTGGCGGTCTAACTGATGACAGCAGTGGAGGCTGCTGAGGGGAGGATGGCTCATAATAATGGCTGGAACGGAGCGAATGGAATGGCCTCGAACCCATGGAAACTATGTGTTTGATGTAATTGATACCATTCCACTCACTCTCTCCAGCCATTACCACGAGCCCATTCTCCCCAATTAAGGTGCCACCAACCTCCTGTGGATGACGGAGTTGGAGCAGGTCTCTTTGCTAATGCCGCGTTTGACTTTGAATGTGAGTTTACTTGACCTCCGCTCAGCCTATCAGAAAACCGGGCCGGTCCATCTTGGTAGAGGTGCCGGCCGTTGCCCACTGATCAGCCAAAGGCTCTTTATACGTAGATTAGTATAACAAAGAATTTGAACAAAAAAAATGGAAAACAAATTACCGGCCCCAAATATTTTAGGGTGTGTCAATTTCGACCATCCCACCCAACAAAAAAAATTGTACAGCCCATCTGGCATTTGCCAGAATTGCCAGATGGCCAATCTGCCCCTGATCCCTATGCTGATTTTAGTTTTCTACTCATATTTAAAAATGACTCAGCACCCTTTTACTCAAATCAGGGAGTGCATACAGATTGGGATATGTGGGACATGTTTGACTACACAAACCTTGCAGGTGCTCCTGATAAGACACCATTGTATTCAATGGTTTATTTGTCAGCGATTAGGTTTTAACATAATTGTACATGCAATTTTGATATGCAACAGAATTTCAATTAGGTGCATAGGTGCAAATTATCAACAGATGGCATGGCAAACGACCCCACATTTGAATGTGTATTTATGTTATATTAAGCAGTGATAAAATGACAGGCCTGGGCATATTGATTTTGTAATAATTATTCAGCAATCCCTATGCTGATCTTTGTTGCCTACTTATATATATAAAAAAACGACTCAGCACCATTTTACTCAAATCAGGGAGTAAATAGAAACATTGGGATATGTGGGACATAGTTTGATTACACAAACCCTGCAGGTGCCGCTGATAAGACACCATTGTAATGCATTGGTCTCTGTGGGCAATTAGTAGGCAGTGTAATTTCTATAGGACTACCTTTGACCATAGTTGCCAAGTGTATGCAGTTCTTGACAGTTCATTCATTATTTATTAATAGTGCATAACTGATAATATAACTATTCCCTGTCTGACTGGCCAACGCATCCCTAGAGGGGACTCAATATGTTTGGCATAGGGTAGCCTACTCTCAGACAGGTGTTTGCATGTGTTGAATCAGTCAAATTGAATGAAACATGCGAACAATTTGGCCTTTGTTTCAATCATGAGCCAAATCCTAGTCATTGATTGACCATCCAGTTGAGACCACCATGAGAGCACGATTAGACGTCCGATTCAAGCTCTGCCTTCTCTCCCTCCCATCACTTTAACTTTGAATCCGTGAGACAGAGGGGACGTGCCATACACATAAACATTAAAACCAGGCTCTACCGTCATTGGGACGTGCTCGCGCTCGGCCACCATGCGTGAGTGACAGCCGGAAAGTGCATCTCTACCGCATCCTCCCATTTGCTCCGAAACACAGAGAATGCAATTGGTATCTGTTGGTTTGATAGATTAATCGTGGGCTTTTTAAGCAGTTTTAAATGTTAAAAGTGTGTAAACATAGACCAGGAGTTTTAACGGGAAGAAACTGAAATTGTTACGAAAATGAACGAGACAGAGAACATCCCTCTTGCAGAATACGATTTCGAAAGAAAATTCGATGAAAAGGGGGCTCTCGAATGGATGCAAGAAAACTGGTAAGTAGACTACCAATTCACCCAAACACATCTGGATAAATAAGTAGCCTAGCCTACGTGGTCTAAAGCCGGCGAATTCTCCCCTTGTCGCCGCCAATGTTGGCTGAGCTCTCATCCACACACAATGTCATTATTTAGCCTACACGCCATGCAGGCAAAACATTTTATTGGCCACATTCGTCAATTTGATTCCTAACTGTCGCGCGCTTTTTCCATTTGTACGCTACCGAAGAGTGGATACAATGTGTTGTGTGGGTTTTGATTATGCTACAAAGTAACGTTTAGTCAATAATTGATACATAAGGCTACAACAGATATAATTGTCTTTGAGGCTACTGTACAGGGGCAGACTGGGACAATAATTCGGCCCCGGCATTTTACTAGACCACATCACTGGGTGTGCCACCAACTCACCACCAACCATACACACACAACCCATCACCACAAATACACCTTACTACACCCTGACCCTACAAACCCTACTTAGACATTTACATTTTAGTCATTTAGCAGACGCTCTTATCCAGCGCAACTTACAGTTAGTGAGTGCATACATTATTATTATTATTATAATCTATTTTATTTTTATTAATTTTTCATACTGGCCCCCCACGGGAAAAAAAAAACCACAACCCTGGCGTTGCAAACACCATGCTCTACCAACATCCCTGCCGGCCATTCCCTCCCCTACCCTGGACGACGCTGGGCCAATTGTGCGCCGCCCCATGGGTCTCCCGGTCGCGGCCGGCTACGACAGAGCCTTGATTCGAACCAGGATCTCTAGTGGCACAGCTAGCACTGCGATACAGTGCCTTAGACCACTGCGCCACTCGGGAGTGGACACAGGCAGTAGTGCTAACGCATAACATTGGCAGTGCAGTACAGCGTTGCCCAAATATTTATGTACCAGTGACTGGCGGGACATGGTCCTCCTCCTCTTTTTTAATCAGCTCATGTTTAAAACAAATACAATATGTAAAAATACCTTTGGAGATACAACTCACCGCTATAACTATGCCTCTAGCCATTTTGTTTGCCTCCCTGTTGTGCTGTCAATCTGTCTCAGCATCTTCTCTGCTGTCACTCTGTGCTTCTTCATGTTCTCTGTCTGTCTGTGTCTGTCTGTCTGTCTGTCTGCCTGTCTGCTTAACACTTATACGTTATGAAAGCCAAGCTAATGACTTAGGCTATAGTTGCTATATTTTACTGTCAAATTAGGACTCCTTTCCTGATTTTTTGGGGGTCAATAGAGATGACCTACATCTTTATGTGCACTAACTAATATCATAGGCTAATTAACTTGGGTTCAACACCTGAGGAAGTTGAAACTCAAAACACATGAATTAGATCGCTAACTCTAAATATGATACCCACTGCTAATAGCCATGTATTCATCCAACAGAAATAACAATGATACTTACAGAATGCTGAGGCCCTCCTCTCTTTGACAGGGACAAGGGGATGAAGCTTCCGAAGCTGTGTTTTTCCCGCAATTGCGTTTTGAAATGTTATACGATCAGAACACATTTTTCTCTCTAGCGCACTGGGAAGAGGAGAGTGGCTCACTCATAACACCAGCAGGCCTTGGCGAAACAGGCACAGGGGCAAGGCAGACACTTTCATTACAGGAAACATGAGGGTAACTTTGCTGTTTGACCAAATCATGGTTTTGCCACCCTCAAATGACATTTTGAGTGAGGTGACATTGTAGAATGTGCTCTTTTTACATTTATAGGCAGCCTTGCCATTTTTTACAATCCATGAGCTTGGCTATTACATTTACATTTTAGTCATTTAGCAGACGCTCTTATCCAGAGCGACTTACAGTTAGTGAGTACATACATATTTGTATTTATTTTTCATACTGGCCTCCCGCGGGAATCGAAACCACAACCCTGGCGTTGCAAACACCATGCTCTACCAACATCCCTGCCGGCCATTCCCTCCCCTACCCTGGGCCAATTGTGCGCCGCCCCATGGGTCTCCCGGTCACGGCCGGCTACGACAGAGCCTGGATTCGAACCAGGATCTCTAGTGGCACAGCTAGCACTGCGATGCAGTGCCTTAGACCACTGCGCCACTCGGGAGACGGCTATCTAACTGATGAGTTGGAGCAGGTCTCTTTGCTGATGCCACGTTTGACTTTGAATGTGAGTTTGCGTGACCTCAGCTCAGCCTGTCAGAAAAATGGGCTGGCCCATCTGGGTAGGGGGGTGGCCATTGTCCACTGATCAGCCAAAGGCTCATTATAGATTAATATAATAGAGAAATTGCTCAATCTTTTAAAAAATTACAGGCCCATGGGCTGCAGGCCATGACCCCAAAAATTATAATATATGTATGTATTATTTTGTGTGTGTGTGTCAATTTCGACCAGGCCACCCAACAAAAAAATGGTCCAGCCCATCTGGCATTTGCCAGAATTGCCAGATGGCCCTGCTACTGTAAATTGAAATACTTATTATTGTTGTTCTCCCGCCCCTTTTCAGATGTCATTGAGGATGCCACCGTCTGAACTTACCTTCAGTTTTCATGTGCATGGTTTGTTGATAACTGGCTATGTTTTATGAATGTTAAAACAACCTTTGATCCATCACATGATGCAGAAGCCATCCCTTTCACTGCTTACAGTACATTGGACGCATTCCTCTGCCCAGGTGTTGCTGATGCATGCCTAACCTAACGTAGCAGACATAAAATAAACTAGATCCCCTACATACTGGTCTTGACGAGAAGAAGGTTCTCTCCTGCACTGTTCAACCAATCCAGTAAATGTGGAGGAGGAGTTAAGATGGAGTGCCTTGTTAACGTCCAAAAGCGGAAGTCATGTTACAGGCTCTCTTTCCATTTCCCCTGAAAACCGGAACAACCGGTTGTTGGGGACTCGTCAGGGCTAACACATGCCAGATCTTACAATGCCTGGATAGGTATCAGCTAACCACATCATATGTTATAGCAATCTGGGGCCCGAAAGCAATGGGCGAGTTCCACAGCTAAGGCGAGGTGACGCAACAACCAATGGTTCTGGTTCGACTGAGAAATTGCTATAACATATCATGTGGTCAGATGATGCTTTAGAGTAACTGTCCAGGCGTTGTTAGATCTGTCAGGCGTCAGCAAAGTCTAAGCATAGGAACGCAACCATTGTTACTACAATATGACGTGAAACTCAACGTATAGCCTGTCATACTGCTGTTCACTTCAGTTTGTGTAACATGCACATGCAGTCACAAGCAATGAATGATTACTAAATATCTAATGTGATGATTACTGTTAAATACATAGGGGTAGATACATTATAGGATATCAATAGGCCTACATTTTGTAACTGTTTTAATATCAACCCAAAGGCATGTCACTTCTCCCCATCAAATTAGTATTGAGCACACAAACCAAAATGGTCTCAAGTGTTTCTCTTTGTGTCCAATGGAAATGTGTGGGGAAGTAATTTTTGTCCTCTGTTAACATATCACTAAGGAAACGTTGAGACCCAGTAAGACCACATTCTTGCACAGACTTACTTTGGCTCCTTGTTTGCATTTTCTGACTGAGAGACAGTGTTGTGTTTCAGTCTCAGTGGCAAGCAAGCTGTCAAATGTGGATTGTAAAAGTCCAGGGGTATATTCATTCCGCCAACGCTGTTGTTTCTTAAACGGAACGAAACGGGGAGGGACCTACCTGAATTTGTCCAATAGAAACTCTTGTTTTGCTCTGTTTGCTTCCGTTTGGTTCTTAAACGGTAAATGGTTTCCGTAATGAATACACTCCTGTAAATGTGCAGTGCTAGCCAAGTAAATTCACCCTGCCCATGCATTCCTCAGATCGAGCTGATGTGTGTAGGCTACAGCAAAGCATCAAAAGGGGAGGAGCCGGAGTAGCTGAAAACCACATCTAGTGCAGCATGTGACATCCTGGCCTACGACGGTGTAATTAATGGGCTAGACTTGTTTCAGCATGTATTCTGCTGATTAGTCAAACAAGATACTGTAGCTATCTAAAAAGGCAGGTATTTCTGCTTTCTGGGAACATTTGCTCCCACAGGACCCTCCCTTTCTCTCTTTCAAGGAGTAAAAGATGGTGGCCCACACATTGTATTTGTCCTGACTCCTTCACCACACAAGGATACAATGACTGCTTCTTGTCGCTTCATTATCTCTCTCTCCCTCTGTATTGCCCATCACACATTCCCTCTCTGTAATGCATAGACACAGTGATGTTATTGCTCTTAATGCTTCCCTATAGAATCCTTCATCAGTCTAATGAAAGTTTCATCCTCCCTTTCGGACAGACAGAGAATGACCATTGAAGTCCTACTGTATTTAGCCCTGTATATAGCCCTACTAAACTGGGTCAAGCAACAACATCTTCTCAGTTTAATATACTCTGTCAATCTGGATTAGTCATCTGGTCTGTCCTCAAAGTAAACCCCCTCTGCAGCACACACGTCATTGCTTTTTAGTATTCAGCCCTTTTCGCCTCAATTTAACTTTTTGGTAAACATTTGGTCCAGTCCGTGATCTATCTAGTATTCTCACTGCAACCTGCTCCCAGCTGTTTTCACATAGCATCACAGTTGATTTTAGACCGGAGCGATGTTTACTCAATCTAATTGCCTCCTCATTACCCACGGGCTGCAGTAGTAGAAGTTCTGGTCAGTATGTCAACATCTAAACTTGGTTAGTCCTTGGCTCCATGACTATGAATGGGGATGGGGACTGTAAAATAGAGCCTTGACATGGATGGACAGAAGTCGGGGTGGTCTAGAGGCCATGTCACTGCCCTGTGCCCAGTGGACCAGCCCAATCCTGATCTCTGTTGATCTCTGTAATCTGTTTAATAGTAGGAATTTATATAGATGATTGGGTTTAGCTTAGCTCGCCTTGTAGCTTGCTGTGTACATTCAGCGTACTGCCACCAAGCAAAAGGAACTAGAAATGTCAACTGCAGTGCCAATCACAAAAGTCTGCTAAAGACTGGCTCATCCATTCACAGTGATCATTGATCACATACATGCATTGTTGGAGTTTAAACTAGATTAAAGATTGTTTGCATTTCCACCCTGCTCTCATCTAAATCATGACCTAGGGCACAGGTAATTACAGTAATCACTTAAGAACTGGTTTGGTGACATGTTTTTTTTTTTTTTTTCTGAATAGGAGCAAGTCGTTTATGTTCTGTGGGCTGTATGCTGCGATCATCTTCGGGGGCCAACACTTCATGAGAGAGAGGCCCAAGCTAAACCTGCGCCGACCCCTCGTCCTCTGGTCACTCAGTCTGGCCATCTTCAGGTGAGTGACACACACTGACCACTGTGTTTCAGTAAAATGGCTTTATGTGTTTTTCTAAGCATCATCAAACCAATCAATCAATCAATCAATCAACCAATCAGTCTGATTGAAGCTCTTACTGAGCACTGGTGGTGGTTAGCTTCATTATCCTCCCTCATCCTTGCTAACCTCAGCAAGGTAAATGTTGTCCACATAAATGTTTGTATATAGAACTAGATCTCTCTCATAATTAACCAAAACAGTGTTTAAACTGACTTGATTTAGGGGTGACATTTTCCTCTTCTAAACACACATGAACTACGTAAAAATTGGGATTTCTAGAGCGATATCTCAAAACTTCTCCTTTATAATGACTCTTCTTTAAGGACATCCACGAGAAGGAGATTCTTTGTGCAGATTTAAAATAAACGGTGCCAAAACGAGATCTACATTTATGTTCAGAAGATTAGAAACATTTTGTGAGTAATGGAGGGTTAATAATGTACTGTATAAATGTGTCTATGTGAGAGAATGTTCAGGCCAATTCAAGGTCTGTCAACTGTCAACACATTCTTTAGCGGATTTGTTGGCTATGCTATCTGTACACACTTACTACACAAAGTAGAATTAGTGTCTGATAATGCAGTTTTAGGATGATTACAGGTACACTCTTAGAAAAAAGGGTTCCAAAAGGGTTCTGCGGCTGTCCCCATAGGAGAACCCTTTTTAGTCCCAGGTAGAACCCTTTTTGATTCCAGGTAGAACTCTTTTAGGTTCCATGTAGAACCCTCTGTGGAAAGGGTTATACATGGAACCCAAAAGGGTTCTACCTGGAACCAAAAGGGTTTTAACTTTAACTAAAAGGGGTTCTTCAAAAGGTTATTCAATGGGGACAGCAGAAGAACCCTTTTTGGTTCTAGATAGCACCTTTTTTCTAAGAGTGTATACTATTGCAACACTGCTGTGTTGCTAGGAAATCTTTGACTTTAATTTACATATAATTGGTTGCGAACCTATATTAATACCCAACCAACATATGTCATCAAGGTGATGTCCCTTTCCTCCCCAAATCCTTAGAAGACACACAACCATTCTGACTGACACTATCTGATGTTTGGTGAGCTTTCTTAGAGCAGTGGTTTTCAACCGGTGTGGCGCAGCACACTGGTGTGCCTTGAGGAACTCTCAGGTGTGCCGCAAAACTTTTCCTAATCTTTATTATTTTTTGGAACTCTCACTTATAAATGTGGCCTGTGGAATCCACATGGAATTTTGACATGGGAGCACTAGTCTGCTCAGATAATAAATGGCACATGGTTACATCTGTATCGTTGTTTCAAGACCAGTGCGCACAGGCTGTTGTTACATTGATTATCATTTGAGGGGCGCGCATCACAAGCACATTATCATTTGTATCATTTTACTTTGCCTGTGAGATCCCTTAGCACAGAAACAAACGGAGCAGGGCTTTGTGTCCCTGGTTGCACCTTCCAATGCAGAAAACCGCTCATCTCTAGCCCAAACGGTTTAAAACTAAAGACATATTTTACCGGAGAAAATATCATAATCCAGTTTTGCAGGACACTCTTAAAGGGGCACATACAAATGAATCATCATGAGTAAGGAACTATGAAAATATTCCAATAAATCCTATTTAATCTATAAAAAATGTTTGTCATAGAAAATATATGATTTGCAGTATGCGTCAGATGAGACGGAGGTCATTTGCTACTAAAAAAATATATAGAAAAAAATACAAATGATCTCATCAAGGTGTGCCACGGTAAAACTTTTTTGGGGAACCACAGTTCTAGAGCAAAATGGCTCTTACCCAGGTGAGGTGAGTTTTGGTCAAACAATGTACTGTATAATGCTGTAAAAGTGCTATATTAAATCCAATCTGTTATCCTTATCATTAAAGTGGCAAACAGCATTTGAAACAATAACAGAGTCCCCGCCCCTGTTTTGGTAAAAAGCTGAGGGATGGGGCTGGAGAAATGTAACCACTGAAATTCATAGACAGTGCTATTGATGCTAGGACTGACCATCCATGATATAAAAATGATAGTTTTAACCATTTTTGAGGCTATATAGTGTATGTTTACATTTACTTTGTTTACAAACATTGGAGTAAAACAATATATTTGGGGTTCTGATGGGGTATTACAGTCGAACTAAGCTCATGAGGCATTTATAAATTATATTCTTCAAGAATCAATGGGTACATATCATTCATTTATAAGTAAAAAAAAATGATGTAGCAATTGCAGATGGCCCCTTTAAGGAGGAGTCAGGGCTGTTTTGGAGTGCCACAGTTTTGGTATGTCACAGCGGTGCATCATCACCGTGCCCATGCCCCCTGCTGTGCCAGCTGTTAATCCTAATCACAGAGCCGTGGGCATAACCTGCCCACTCATCCCGCTGCTGCTAGCTGGACAGGATAGCGTGTCCTCGGCATATGAAACACTTGATATACTCATTACTGCACCACCACTGCAACATTCTACCACATGGGGTTTTTAAGAGTAGACTACTGGTCTGTAATAGATAGGTAGTTACCAATGATGATGTTGGTGTTAGGTAGTTACCATAGATAATGTATAGATAGGTAGTTACCATTGATAAAGTTGTTATATGTAGGAAGTTACTATAGATAATGTTGTTACATATAGTTAATGTTGATAATGGTGTTATTGATATGTAGTTACCATTGATAACATAGTTATAGGTAATTAGTTACCAAGTCTGACACCAACTGACTCAAACAGGCACCAACACGCTCTTGAACAGCTTCTATCCCCAAGCAATACAGCTGATAAATAGCTAACAAAATAGCTACACGGACCGAGTTTACCTTGTATCTTTATTGACCTTTTATTTCAGTATTTGCACTCTATGCACACTCACAGGGCCCTACACCCTCACACCCACTGTCACTCCAACATACACACAAACACTCACTCCATCATTTTCTCACTCACACATAATATGCACATACATTTATACTGACTCTACACACCCGCACATCCACTCACATGCAAGCTGCTGCTACTCTGTTTATCTTATATCCTGTTGCCTAGTCACCTTACCCCTATACATATCTACCTCCATCACTCCAGTATGCACATGTACTGTAAATATGGTATTGGAGCTGACTTTTTAAATATTTCCTGAATATAGTATGCTTACTTACGTACTTACTTTATTGTGTATTTCATATTTCTTATTATTATTTCTCGTGTAATAAAAAAAAAAAATTATACATTGTTATTGATTATTGCATTGCTGGGTTTTGCGTTTGCAAGAAAGACATTTCACTGTACTTGTGCATGTGAAACTAGATAATTGATAACGTTGATACATTAATCGCCCATGACTGTGCAGTTTTCAGAGCAGCTTCAATAGTTCTGCACCAGTGGAGGCTGCTGAGGGGAGGATGGCTCATACTAATGGCTGGAATGGAGTGAATGGAATGGTATCAAACACGTGTGTTTGATACCATTCCATTCACTCCATTCCAGCCATTCCACTCCATTCCACTCCAGCAGCCTCCACTGTTCTGCACCCTCAAAATGTCAACTGTGTCTCTTGGGTGTCTCTTCTAGTGTTGTTCCCACTGTTTGACTGAGGTGTTTAGTTACATGGGTTTGGGGATGGCTTCCTGGAATATCACTGGATCATTGTTACATTACAGGCCTTGTGGTCTACAATTGATCTTTAAGGAGAGGTGATATGTTTTCATAGGGTGTCCCAACTGAAATGACCTCACGCTGTAAGTAGCCACAGTGTTCTTTCAGATGAGAAGGAAAGCTACAAATCGATACAGTGTTTACTAAGCATACGCATCCTGTTTACAAAGTAAGAGCATGTGTGTCTAAGTCTTGGTTGGACTTAATGGAGGTCTAAAATAGTTGGAGACGGGGAAGCACAGCCAACTGGAGATGTGACCCACTGATATGTCTTATCTCGTTTATCTTGGTTTCAGGTTTAGAATGCCATGGCAACCGCAACAGTGACAGTTCATATATTTGAGAGGTATTTCACATTGCATCATGGCAACGCATAGCTGACAGTATAAAATATAGTTGAGCGATGTATAGCGCATTACGTTATGACAACCACAAAGCTGACAGTTCAGGTGTATCGAATAGCAGCAAGATAGAAATATGAACTGAATTCGTGTACAAAATACTTACTTACAGTCAACTGTGATCGATCATGGGCATTATACTTGTGTTGACGTTTTTTCCTATACCAAATACTTGTATTTAACTGTGAATTCCCTATAGTTAGACTGAGCAAATCAAATCAAATCAAATGTTATTTGTCACATGCGCCGAATACAACAGGTGTAGACTTTACCGTGAAATGCTTACTTACAAGCCCTTAACCAACAATACAGTTCAAGAAATAAAGTTAAGAAAATATTTACTAAATAAACTAAAGTAAAAAATTAAATAAAAAGTAACACAATAAAAGAACAATACCGAGGCTATATACAGGGGGTACCGGTACCGAGTCAATGTGCGGGGGTACAGGTTAGTCTATGACTTGGGTGACTGGAGTCTTTGAAACATTTTTGGGCCTTCCTCTGACACCGCCTAGTATATAGGTCCTGGATGGCAGGAAGCTTGGCCCCAGTGATGTACTGGGCCTGTCACGCCCTGGCTCTGGGACTCTGTTATGTTGAGCCAGGGTGTGTAGTTTCTATGATTTTGTGTTCTAGGTTCATTATCTAGCTGATGTGTTTTCTATGTTGGCCGGTGTGGTTCTCAATCAGAGGCAACGTGAATCAGCTGTTGATTGTTGTCTCTGATTGGGAACCATACTTAGGCAGCATGTTTTCCACAGTGTTTTGTGGGATCTTGTTCCGTGTATGGTTAGTGTCTGTTACCTAGGACTTCACGTATCGTTTTGTTTCGTGTGGTGAATTAAATAAAGTATGTTCACTCATCACGCTGCGCATTGGTCCACTTCCTCCAACGATCGTGACAGAAGATCCCACCAAAACTGGACCAAGCAGTGTGTCCAGGAGCCAACGCCAGAGGTAACTCTAGCGGATATCCACTTCGACTGGGTCAAGCAGCGTGTCCAGGAGCCAACGCCTGAGGTAACTCTAGCGGATATCCACCTCGACTGGGTCAAGCCGCGTGAGGAGGAGAGAGGTTGGACTTGGGAGCAGAGGCTGGAGAGTCTGGCGAGAGCCATGGAGGCCATAGCCACGGGGGAGAGACGAACCCAATATATTTTTAGGGGGGGGCTCACACCGTGGACGACGGGACTGCTGGAGGCAGATAAGGGGCGAGTTAGTGGACGAGGAGAGAAGGCCACCGGGTTACGGGAGCCATTGGCGAGTAGAGGGAAGGAGAATGTAGAGGCACGGCGAGAGGTACTGAGGTGTGTTGCCAGTCCGGTCCGGCCCGTTCCTGATCCCCGGGTAAGGCCAGTGGTGTGTGTTCCCAGTGCGGTCCGGCCTGTTCCTGTCCCTCGCACCAAGCCTGTGATGCGCGTCGCCAGCCCGGTCCGGCCTGTTCCTGCCTCTCGCACCAAGCCTATGGTGCGCGTCGCCAGCCCGGCCCGGCCTGTTCCTGCTCCCCGCACCAAGCCAATGGTGCGCATCGCCAGTCCGGCCCGGCCTGTTCCTGCTCCCCGCACCAAGCCAATGGTGCGCGTCGCCAGCCCGGCCCGGCCTGTTCCTGCTCCCCGCACCAAGCCAATGGTGCGCGTCGCCAGCCCGGCCCGGCCTGTTCCTGCTCCCCGCACCAAGCCTGTAGTGCGCTTCGTCAGCCCGGTTCGGCCCGTCCCTGCTCCCCGCACCAAGCCTGTGGTGTGCGTCGCCAGCCCGGCCCGGCCTGTTCCTGCTCCCCACACCAAGCCAATGGTGCGCGTCGCCAGCCCGGCCCGGCCTGTTCCTGCTCCCCGCACCAAGCCTGTAATGCGCTTCGTCAGCCCGGTTCGGCCCGTCCCTGCTCCCCGCACCAAGCCTGTGGTGTGCGTCGTCAGCCCGGTCCGGCCCGTTCCTGCTCCCCGCACCAAGCCTGTGGTGCGCGTCGTCAGTCCGGCACAGCCCGTGCCTGGGTCAGGTACCGGTCAGCTGCTCCACATCGGAGAATAAGCAATCCACTCCACCGATGTCCAGTCCAGCTCCAGCCAGCGGGACCAGACCAGGGGCGCTACGGGGGGATTGTTGGAGGGTGGTGGTCAAGCCCGGAGCCGGAACCGCCTCCAAGGAGGAATGCCCACCCGGCCCTCCCCTGTTCAGTTTATGTTTGGCGCGGTCGCAGTCCGCGCCTTTGGGGGGGGGGGGGGGGGGGGGTACTGTCACGCCCTGGCTCTGGGACTCTGTTATGTTGAGCCAGGGTGTGTAGTTTCTATGATTTTGTGTTCTAGGTTCATTATCTAGCTGATGTGTTTTCTATGTTGGCCGGTGTGGTTCTCAATCAGAGGCAACGTGAATCAGCTGTTGATTGTTGTCTCTGATTGGGAACCATACTTAGGCAGCCTGTTTTCCACAGTGTTTTGTGGGATCTTGTTGCGTGTATGGTTAGTGTCTGTTACCTAGGACTTCACGTATCGTTTTGTTTCGTGTGGTGAATTAAATAAAGTATGTTCACTCATCACGCTGCGCATTGGTCCACTTCCTCCAACGATCGTGACAGGGCCGTACGCACTACCCTGTGTAGTGCCTTACTGTCGGAGGCCGAGCAGTTGCCATACCAGGCGGTGATGCAACCGGTCAGGATGCTCTCGATGGTGCAGCTGTAGAACTTTTTGAGGATCTGGGGACCCATGACAAATCTTTTCAGTCTCCTGAGGGGGAAAAGGTCTTGTCGTGCCCTCTTCACGACTGTCTTGGTGTGTTTGGACCATGATAGTTTGTTGGTGATGTGGACACCAAGGAACTTGAAACAGATACACACAACACTTGACACTATCTCTTTAGTAAATCTATGTGTTTCATTCCACAGTATCATCGGAGCGGTCAGAACCGGTTGGTACATGTTCCATGTCCTCAACAAAAGCGGTTTTAAGCAGTCGGTGTGTGACACCAGCTTCTACAGCGCCCCTGTCAGCAAGTTCTGGGCCTACGCCTTCGTCCTGAGCAAGGCCCCTGAGCTAGGTAAGGAATGTCCAAAATAGGGTCCCGTTCTGAATGCTTCAGATAGAAATATGTAATGTAGAACAGACATACTTCTCTGTCATGCAGTGTAGAATAGTCAGCTCGCCTCGAGCTGATCTATACAAGACATTTCTATATACCCAATGTGACCCTGACCAACGAGTGGGAGAGATAGAGGGGGTTGTAATTGGTCAATTACGTCAGAGGGCCAATCAGAGAGAAGGAGGCTGGTGCAGGACAAAAAACCCAACTTGAAACAATTTGTCTATTTATGTGATTCCGGAAGCACTTGGAAGTTTCTAGTGCACTTACATTGATCAGTGGAGGCCTATTACCTCAAGAGCTGTGTGGCTGCAACGTGATGCCATCTCCACTCCCAGAGCAGTAATCTAGTCACTTCTACCTATCTGTCAGTCAGACAGTAAATGCAATAGTGCTGGTAAATGGACAGAGATGCTGATTGACTGTGCTATGTCTCTTCCTGAGCAAGAGACAGTAAGGGCACGCTCGTGTTCTAGAATGGGACAGATGTTCAATATATTAGGCCTGTTTAGTTTGTACTGTACAGGGTGTGCAGTTTGAGTTTATTGGAGTGTGTTAGGATGTTGTTGTATGCTTCCTAATATGGTGTGTGTGTGTGTGTGTGTGTGTGTGTGTGTGTGTGTGTGTGTGTGTGTGTGTGTGTGAGAGTGTGTGTGTGTGTGTGTGTGTGTGTGTGCAAGTGTGCAAGTGTGTTTGTGTGTAGCGCTTTACATCCCATCTTTCCTGGTTATTTTTGGAAGTGAGGTCCAAATATCCAGTCCTCACAATGTTTTTATTATACTGTGTGTGTTCACTAGTGTTTGAGAGAGAGAGAAAGTGATCAAACATCAGAGTATAACTAAGTGATTTTCGGTTCCCTCCCTCCCTACCTCCCTCCTCAGGCGACACGGTCTTCATCGTGCTCCGTAAGCAGCGCCTCATCTTCCTCCACTGGTACCACCACATCACAGTGCTGGTCTACTCCTGGTACTCCTACAAGGACCAGGTGGCCGGCGGCGGCTGGTTCATGACCATGAACTACCTGGTCCACTCCTTCATGTACACCTACTACGCTGCCCGGGCGGCAGGTTACCAGGTGCCCCGACCCTGTGCCATGGTCATCACGGCCACCCAGATCATGCAGATGATGATGGGGCTTGCTGTCTTAGGCTTGGTCTACCACTGGATGCACGAAGTGCGCTGTCCCTCCTACATGCCCAACATCGCCTGGGGCTCTCTCATGTACCTCAGCTACCTGGTCCTGTTCGCCTCGTTCTTCTACAAGTCCTACCTCAGGGGCGCCGCTGACAAGGTTGGCAAGGAATCCAAGGCCGAGTAGGGTCTGGATTCGTCAGAGGCAAGTTGTACACTGGGAAAGTCATATTAGAGTGTGTGCCTAGTCGAGAAGAATATCGCGTTGTGCCATGATGTGAGTCACAACTGGTTTTAATGGTTGCTGGGTCAGTGCCAGTTGTGACAAGCCATCTCCCCCCGAACCCCCCCCCCCCCCCGTCTTTGTATAGCTGTAGCTCATCTAATCAACTAGAACCATGGATTACACAATAATAGAACGGTCGCTGAGAGTGGACCGAGGAACCAGTGCATGGTCAGCACACTTTAATATACTATGGTCAATTAATGAAAAAAAGGGAGTAGACAGAGATTGAAAAAGGCGATAGACAGAGAGCAGATCAGTTTATTTGACTAATGCACTACTCGCTTCATTTTGATTTCTTGGCTTCATTAATCAATCTCTTTGACCAGCTGCTTCAGTCAGAGTCCAGTGAAAAACAGCCATATGTGGCCTGAGGCGTCTCCAAGGGCAGTTTACAACTGCATTTGCAGTCTGCACGTTCAATGAATTTGACAGTCACAAGACATCATTCATACAGAAAGACTGACTTCTAGTGAAATCTGGTGCTCTTTAGACCAGCGCTGAAAATTGTCTCACTAACTTATAGTAAGTATATTGAAGTGACGATCAAAAGGCATTAATGAAGGATAGTTTCTTTGTTTTAGTTGTTGGGAATTTTCTGGGAATGGGTGAGAGGAGAGGAGCGCACTGAAGGGAGTGACACTCGGAACAATGTGTCCATTGTAAATAATATATCTTAAGAATGTATTTATTTTCTTAAAATCTCAAGTCTCTGGTGGTACTTAAAGTGTACCAGGAAATAGTGGGACTCACTAAGGTTCTGCCTGTCTTAAATTGTGCAGTTTGAGTTGTGCACTTTTGTATTTTAAACAGTTTTCTTTACATCACAACAATTAGTTTTGTAAGTCTTTCTACATCTGTTCATTAAAGAAAGGGAAGTCCCCTGGCACCACGTTGCTTCTTAAAGGGAAAGGTAATTAAGGTTATCTTTGCTTCTTAAAGTGAAGGTCATGAAGGTTATCTTGGCTTCTTAAAGGGAATGTCATGAAGGTTATCATAATGTCTGTGTGGTAAGAGTTGCATTGTCATATAAGAACTATTTGAGTCTAGGAGGTAAACTTTTTAGATTTTCACATTTGACAGATATTCCTTTTCTACATGGTAGAAGCAAATATCCACATTCTAATATACCAGTATGAAAACCCAGCATAGCAAGATAGATTATGACGTTACACAAAGAGGCACATTCCATTTTATTTCCTCCTATTTTAAATATGACCACCAGTGTACATTGGATACATTGTGTAAGTAGGGGCTTAGGTCAAGACAGCAAAAGAGTTTTTGTTGTTGTCTAGAAATCTAGTAGATGCAGAAAGTAGTGTCTTGTAAGCACACTTAACCACTAGTGAGTTTTAACCCTTGGCAGCTTGTGTTTGTCTTCCTTTATGTTTGTAATAGAGCTGTACTGTACTATCTCCCTCCTAACTATCCTTCTAGAGCCATACTGGTGTGAGCACATGTTCTTTAATGTATGTTTGTATCACACTGAGAGTAGTTACCATGGCTTAAAGTACGGGACTCTTTTGAAGGGTAATGGTAACTACTAACACTTGCCTAACACCTGCCTTCATAAGCACTACTTAGAACCCCCATATCACAAGCTGTGACTTCAAGTGTCATAGATCTCATACTCTTATCTGTAGGTTTATTAGCTTCCAACACAAAGTGAGACGGTCTAGCCTGTACAGGACTGGTAGTCGGCAAATGTCTTAAATGGAATTTTCAAAATTGTTCAACTTCTTATTCATCTCCAGCACTACTCCAACATCATGCATCATCTTGGTGTGCATCATGTGATTTTAACCAATTAGTAGGCAATGCCTACTCATCATTGGTTGAAATCACACCAGATGATGCCATTGGTAAAACGTATCTTCCTTCATCTATTTGACTACAAAACATAGAAACTCGCCATTTTCACATAAGTTGATGTTGGGGTAGTGCTGAAGTGCTGAATATGAAGTAGACATTATTTTTTCTCAATGTCCTTTAAGTCATGCTTATAATCCTATTATAATGTTGTGTTTATGAAGGAGTTACACTGCCCTTATGTAATACCCTTCATATGACTCAGCTGTAACACCTGATGCTGGGGCAGGCACATACTGTATTACCATTATTATAGACTAGTCCAATGAGTTTAGCAGTGTTTAGATATGTGAATATGTTTTAAGGCCATACTAAATGTGTACATCTTCAAAATATATGTATTTCACTTGGCTGTTGTTGTGTCAATAATGCTGATATTATGATCATGATGTGACATTATAAGTGTTGTCCACCCTCTACCTTGAAACCGACGGTTGCATTTTAGTTGTAAAATGTCATAATGATAATACGCAGGTTTTGAACTCAGTTTATAATACATTCATTTGTGTGCCAAATGATGCTTCTGCAGTTTTCTACTCTGTTAGGTAAATGTGAGCAGAGTTATTGTTTGTGTATTACCTTTGCTGATATAGAGTGTAAAAAAACATGCTTATGCATCCCTGTGAGTATGCTGTCTAGTACGTAACTGATATGAAAGGGCAAAAAACTGTCTTAAGGGCTTTAATGTTTAAATGTGCAGATTTTAAATGTCGAAACAATAAATTAATGTCTGTTTTGAAAGACTTATTAATTGTTTCATTCTTGCTGAAATCTGAAATACATCTGTGCCTCTTTGTTAGATGCACATGCACATGTACAGTCAGGTCCAAAATGATTGGCACCCTTGATAAAGATGAGCAAAAAAGACTGTATAAAATTAATTATACAAATACTGAGCTACAGGTAAAAGGAAACACTTGAGTAAATGAGGGATACAAAGTATATTGAAAGCAGGTGCTTCCACATAGGTGTGGTTCCTGAGTTAATTAAGCAATTAACATCCCATCATGCTTAGGGTCATGTATAAAAATGCCCAGTTGCCCATTCTTTTGGCTACCATGAAGGGTCTCTAAGGAGCTATGGGTTGATTAAAGTGTGTGTGTGTGTGTGTGTGTGTGTGTGTGTGTGTGTGTGTGTGTGTGTGTGTGTGTGTGTGTGTGTGTGTGTGTGTGTGTGTGTGTGTGTGTGTGTGTGTGTGTGTGTGTGTGTGTGTGTGTGTGTGTGTGTGTGTGTGTGTGTGTGTGTGTGTGAGAGATCTCAACCCAATTGAAGACTTATGGGAGATTCTGGAGTGTCCCCTGAGACAGCTTTTTCGACCACCATTAAACAAAACACCAAATGCTGGAATTTCATGTGGAAGAATGGTGATGCATCCATCCAATAGAGTTCCAGACACTTCTATGCCAAGGTGCATTGAAGTAGTTCTGGCTCGTTGTGGCCTAACATCCTATTAAGACACTTTATGTTGGTTGTTTCTTTTATTTTGGCAGTTACCTGTATATTGTATGCTCAAAAACATGGGGAAATTATATTTTATACTAATACAATTTAAAAAAAGAAAGAGATTTTGTTTAACAAGTAATATTTTTTATCTCAAAAAGATAGGTTCAAAAATTGTCTGCACCCCTGTTTTCAATACCTTTCAATACCTCACCTTGCGAGGATAATGGCACTGAGCCTTTTTCTAAAATGTTTTATGAGATTGGAGAACACATGGGGAGAGATCTTAGACCATTCCACCATACAGAATCTTTCCAGATCCTTGATATCCTTTGTCTGAGCTTATGGACTGCCCTCTTCAATTCAAACCACAGGTTTTCAAGTCCGGAGACTACAAAATGTTGATTTTGTGGTCAATTAACCATTTATTTTTGGATTTTAATGTGTGCTTGGAGTTATTGTCTTGCTGGAAGATCTACTTGCGGCTAAGTTTCAGCCTCCTGGCAGAGGCAACCAAGTTTTTGGCTAAAATGTCCTGGTACTGGGTAAAGTTCATGATGCAGTTGACCTTAACAAGGGCCCCAAGACCAGTGGAAGCATCAAAGATCCACCAGCATATTTTACAGTAAGTATGGGATTATTTTCTCCAAAGCTCATGACGCACTCTTGGAAGTAAACAAGATAGTGGCCAAGCTTGCAGATGCTTACATCTGCTGCTACCAAAACAGAAAATGCAAAGTAAGTCGGTCCAAATCCCTGACATAGAGGGAACAGATCACTCAGATACGATTCCTGAGTGAGATTCCTGATTCAGTGGTTTCTTACTGTGGAATTCTCACAATGGCTTACCTAACAACATTCCGTATGACACCCCAAAACTCAACACAATGCACAAAACTGCAAGGGCTGCTGCTCTCAAAAACTTCAGGGAAGCTTGCTACTACCAGATCCTCTGTGTGTGTGTGTGTGTGTGTGTGTGTGTGTGTGTGTGTGTGTGTGTGTGTGTGTGTGTGTGTGTGTGTGTGTGTGTGTGTGTGTGTGCCTGTGTTTACTGTGACATTTCCTACAGCATTTTCAGTCTGTTGCCTTCTGGCTTCTTCTTCCATGTAATCCAAACCGTCTGTAATTCCTCATCACCCTTGGATTTTAGTTGCTTTACAGGAAGATGGGATTCATGATGCCATTAAAGTCCAGCTGAGTAGTTACTGCCCTCATGTGGAAACAATATGATTAGTCTTCCGTTATAATAGTCTGGTCTATGCCATGGAGGGGGCCAAAAGGTGACTTAGAATGTGGGATGAATCGGATGATACTATATGAAAGGGAGACGATACATTATGTGGATACATAATGCGATTATGAGATTCTATATATGACTTTCAGTACAAATAATAGCAGCTTTCCATTCTAGTCATTTCATTTCAGTCCACACAAGCTTGTTGAGGATTGAAACTGTGTAGAATCCTTACCATACAGTAAGTTTAGCAAGTATGCTAGTAGGCCTATTGCTGCACAGAGTCAGAGTGACATACTCTATTGTAGGCCTACACTATATCAACAATGACATTCATCATGGATTTATTTCAGTTCATTTT